GAGTTCAGAATCCCACCAGTGAGAATGACCTGCCTCCACACTAGACCTTAAACCCAGAGGACTCAGCTGCAAGAAAAACTTGTCTAATTATAAATGCTACAGTGGAGCACAGGGAGCAAAACAGTCTGTGAACAAGTTGGACTCCTGCACCTTGAGTGGCAAAGGGAATAGAAATGAAAACCACCACTGTGCACAAACCTCTATAAAGACATGCTTGCACCCACAGGGCAGGCAGCTGTATTCCACACTGAGTGGATCCACTGATAGTCTCTATGCATGATTCTAATTGCAGTACAAAAAATTCACAGCCTGGAAGTGACAAAGGTTTGGAAAACTGCAGCAAGGACCAGGCCAAGGAAAACTGAAAGCTAAAGACTTTTCAGGACCTTATTACAACCTAGGAGTTTGAGACTGGACACCTCTGAGATGAAGGGCAGCCATATCTCCTAGTACCAGGATCAGCCTCCTAACAACTCAAGATGCTCACAGTACTTTCCTCTGCCCAAGAGTATCACATCTATCTGGATTTATCTTGAGCCAGGGCACACTCATCCAAGTCTGTCTCTTCGTGAGGTTCTGGAAAAGCCTGTGGGTTATGGGTCAGATATAAACCAGATTCTCAGAAATCTATTGAGAGTGCTTCAGTTCACAATACCTCTACCTCACCCCAGGAAGAGCTGACACATGGTGAACAAGAAGGATGCCAAGTGGGAAAGTTGTGGGATCTCATAGATGAAAGCCCCAGAAGAGGATGAGCCATTAGCCAGGAATACTGTAAAATCAGTAAGAAAAGAGTAAATGGCAGATAGGCAGTGGAAGGCCAGGGCTAACAGGGCTTAGCTCCCCCAAACTAATTTTGCACCGGCCAGCAACAATGGCAGCACCACAGTGCCACCATCCCACAGTGCACAGTGCCACTTGGTGTGCAGCCACCTGTGTGGCTCCACTGCTCCAGTACCACTGCCACAGTACCATGCCCAGATCCCCCACCATGCACTCCTGAGCCCCCACAGATAATATTTTCTCCTGCCATTAGTGAATGGAACCACTGAAGAGTGACTCCATGCACTCTGACTAGGCCTTCCAGGAGAGTAAGAAAACAGCTCCTGATCAGTCTGCCCAACCCACAAAAGAAGCATCCTGGCACATGACCTCTGTCCCAGGCCAGAAGGAAATCATCAACCAAAGACACAAGCACAAGCTTCATGTTACACAAGCTCAAATAAAACTGGGTAATTATCTCACTGTCATCTCTGTAATGGCCTCATTCTAACCTGCAAAGATCCAAGACAATGAAAGTTAACTGTTCATATTAAGTGACAGTTCCTTAAGGTAAGGCAAATCCATGCTTGCTTACAAGCGGTAAACCTCTTGACCTCCCTGGGGGAAGCAGTAACAATCCCCAGCAAATATGGGCCTAAGTGAGATCCCACACCTTGCTCGTGATTAAAGCAGGGAGGTGGTTGCCTGTCTGTGGGGCAGCATGAAACAAAGGTCCCTGCCTGTCATTGCACCATGATATTAGCAATGCGTAGGGGGCACACGTGGGTGCACGTGCACCCCCTGAGATCAGCAATCTCATCGGCAATCTGGTGCCCTCCCAGACTTGGGAGGGACCAGTCGCCCATGCACAATGCTGCTAGAAGCAGACCTCATGGGACATGATTCCCATGGGACAGACAGTAATCGATGACTGAATGCCTCCCTTGTCATACCTCTCCCACCTATAACAGTCAAGACCAGAACTGGAAGGACTCTTAATTAATCCTTACCCCCAACCCTGCCCCCTTGGGCATCCCAGAATCTAGTGACATTCAGCTGTGATCATCAAAGTGTTGTAGCTTCTAAGGCTGCCCCTGCCAAGGGCAAAATGAAGGTTTTAGTGCAAAAGGTTCAAAGTGATGTCCCAATGCTCCATTTCTTTGTAGCCCCTGCTGTGCCCACACCTTCCAGCGGGCTGAGAGCAGCAATAGCATTCACCATCTGAACTGGGAGACAGCTCACATGCTTCAATGAATATGACATTTATTTATAAGCATCCTACCACATCGAGCAATGCAGCCTATGCATCAGGCTTAAAATAAAGGGGCTTCCTTTTCCAAGCTGGGATGCGGTCCCTCTGCTGAACCTGTACAGGCAGCTGGGCCCACATAAAGCAGAGAAGGAAGTTTCCTCTTCTTCTCCACCATACATGGATTGCCTCTACTCCCAGGCACCAAAAATAATCCAGTGGGTCAGTTTAAATTGAGATATTTTGAAGCACTTCTGCACTGATTCAAATTCCTGCAGGAGATAACAACCTGGGACCAGAGCCCTGAACTGGTCTGCTTGTCTCCTGCATTTCTGTGAGGGGAAAATGGGATACGTTCTACCTCTGAGAACATGTATAATGAATCCTGAAAATAAGAGACTGTGTTCTAAAGACATGATTGAGAAGACAGAAGAGATGACCCTGGTTAAAGATGGATTTTAGAGCAGAGGGGAATGATTCTAGTTATTCCCAGGGCTTGAAAACACCCCAGAGACCCACTGTATAGCTCTGAAGAAGCATAGAGCCTCCTAGACTGTCCCTGCACTAGTCACCTGGAGACAGCAGATGGGCCACAGCATCGTTGTACCATGACTGCATCAATTTGGGACTACACTGGCTGGTCCTCAACCTTCTGGCAGCACCCTTGGGGGGGGGGAGCTGTATTCACCTTGTGTTCTCACACCTGCTCTCCAGACAGGCTCCCTACAGAAGCTGGCATAGACCACAGTTCATTCAAACCCATGAACAGCAGCATGTGTTTATCTTAGGTGTAAGAGCTTTTCTCTTTCTCTCTCTCTCCCTCATGTGGCATGTTTGTCCTTCTTGTCCTCCCCTCCCCCCGTACTATTTATTGTCATTTGTAGCTTATTTTCCATTGCACTATGGCCAAAAGAGAGCATGAATGCCTGCCTTCCTTTCCCGCTGGAAAGCCAGGGAAGGCTGTGTTAGCTATGTGGTATGCCATGGAGTGCTGTCACCTTGGGAAGCCATTCTGAGAGCTCATACATCAGGGCACCTGACAGAAACCTGACCTGCTTAATTCAAAAGGGAGTATATTAGGAAAGTAAATGATTAGCTCAGGCTGTAGTGGTTCTAGGAACCCTTGGTCTAGCTTGCAATGTGGTTACATCAGCTTCTGCCACAGGATATTATTCTGTCACCAAAAAATGCTTTGTATTAAAGAGGTGGCTCTCCTGGGAGCCATCTGTGCTGACTCTGTCCATGGAAATAAGCCCTGATGTAAAGCAATTGCTCACTCAGTGCCCAGACTTATCAGGTGGCAAAGAGCAGCTGGATGTGCCTTTCTCAGCATTCATCTCATGCTTGTACCTTATTTAAAGGGGAAAAAATAGCTCAAACCACAGGGAGGCTGCGAGTGTCAGTTTTGCTGCTGTCCGAGGGGCAGTGAGTTCTCAGCCGGCTGGGGAGCAAACAGACCCAGCAACCAGGCTAATAGCACTGCCAAATTGGGTTTGAGGGCAAAGAGCTGGACTGTATCTGCAGTGTGGCACACAGGGGGAACAGTGCCTCAGTGCCCTTCTGGGAGGAATGAGATTTGATTTGGAAGCATTTCCCAAAATTTCCCAGCGACCAGGGAGGTTCATGCCTGGGAAGGGAGAAAAGCACAAGCTAAAGCCATTGTCTTGCAGCTCCTGTTAGCTTTGGAAGGAGCATGTCTTATGGTCAGAAAAGGGGACTGGGAGTCGGGTACTAGATTTTTCCTGGCCTGTAACGTCTCTCTGCAAATTTATGAGGAAAGGATAGAAGGAAGGGGAGGGAGAACAGACAATGAAATGCAAATGTGATGGCTTTAAATAAGACTTAACTAACAGCTGGGTTGGGTTTGCTATTCAGAGATACATCCTCTTGGAGAGAGTCTCGGTGAAGCAGCTACCAGTGAGATCATAGAGGCACTGCCTATGTTAAAGTTCAGAAACAGCACTGGAAGATGGGAGAGCCAGCATGAGGCTCAGACATGATCACAGCTAAGATGTGTTCTGGCCATGACTTCCACGAACCTGAGCAGCTGTGAGGTTTACTGTGTGATGCCAGGGAAGGAAAAGCAGAAAGGAAAAGGAATCCTAGAGCCACAGAAGTTCAGGATACAAAACTCCCATTGGGTCCCTTCTAGGGTACCTCCCAGGTACCCACGAAGAGTTGCTTTCTCTGGTGTTTTTCTGGTGCTTCATCCCTGTTTCCTAGGGATGCAGTTCCCCTCACAGGCACTAACAGCTTACTTAGATTTACTTTCCTCCAGTCCCTGTATCTTCTTATTGGGAGCCCTGGGCTGACTAGGCAAGGGCAACAAACTCTTCTACTGGAGCTGACTAGCTCCGTCCCATGTACATAGGCACATTCCTCCTGATAGAAAGAAAGCTGCATAGAAATCACCCTCCAAACGTGGGGAAAAAAGCAGACAGGTTTCTCCTGAACTTAACAAAGTGGAAGGGACAGTGCCAATAAGAAATATGCTGCTAATAATAATATTTGGGGTGGTCCTATTGTGTAGATCATCTCGCTGCTCACTTCTCAGGAACTATGTGGTAGAGAAAGTTGAGCTGTGCTGGAGCCCCTTGGCTTGGACACAGAAAGGTTAGAAAATGAATGGGGCTCTTTCAACCCAAGCCATTCTAATAAGCAGTGATATCTCTCTTGTAGCCAGCAGATATCACTGGGCTGCAGGAGCAGTTGGGCCAGTTTTTATGTTTCAGTTCTAGACTCCTGAGCTCTTTCCATAACTTGTGATGGAGCAGACAGGTGTCCACAGGGAGAAAGCCTTGGCCCTCCTGACCTACATGGTCCAATCTCTGCCTAGCTGGCCTGGCCCAGCATCTTTCTAAGCTAGGTAAATAGAATCCCACAGTTTGCTGAGTGATATCAGTGGTGGGACTTTAAACAGGGTGATCCGATCAAATGGGGAGTTAGGATGAGTGGGAAGCAAGGAAGAGGTTTGTCCAGGGGCACTTACTGGCTTGTTTGGCTTTCTCAACATAGGTGGTGGTTAGATCTTCATCTACTGGGTGTTCCACTGGCCCCACCATGGGGATGAGATGGCGCTCAGCTCGGATGGTCTTGGTGGCATGGGGCAGGAGCATGGCCTCTGAGTATGCTTCCTTTCCCTCTGGCGTAGGCAGCTGCAGCAGCACCTCACTCTCCGAGAAGGGGGTCTCTGTGCGGCTGCCAGGCTGGTACACGATCTCTCTCTTGGCCACCCCACTCACATTCTCAGTTCCTTCACCCTCCTGCACCGCAGCCTCAGGGGTGCTGTCATAGCCGCTCTGCTCAGAGAGGGAAACCTCATCCTGTGGTGCATCCACCTTGTTGTTGGAGCCCCCTGGTGGGGAGCGAGGGGTCTTTTTTCGGGCCCGCCGTTGTTTCTCCTGAGCAATGTTGTCAGCATCGCTATCTGTCTCACCATAGTATGCCTCGCTGTCTGGGGGCGAAGTCATGCTCTCCAGCTGCTGTAGCCTCATCCGCTGCTGCTCATGTGGTGTGGTGGTTGGGGCACCTGCTGGCTCTGGACTGAGCAGCTGGGGCGTGGGGCTGACTGGGGAGGTAGGGGAGAGCACCCGTGGCTTTCCAGGGGAAGGGGAGCGCAGGAGTCGTGCGGCAGCCTGGTCTCCACCAGTTGCCCTATGGAGAGAAAAAAGAGTGCACTGGTGAAGTTTGGTTGACGTGAGAGCTTGGCAGAAGGTTCCCAGGGTGTGAAGGGATGCCCACAGCCCAGGGGAGGAATAGGTGACCTAAGCTTCACCATTCTGGCCCTCTTCTCCAGTCCTTAAGTCAAAGGGCTGCCTAAGCCTTGAAACTCATCAGGCCCACATGGTCACAGCACCCTAGTGTCTACAGCCATCAGTACATGAGGGAGCAATGTGACCAGTCTCACATCTGGCTGACTTTGCACCCCCAGCCTTAAATTAGAACTGGGTCAACTGGGGGCAACCTCTAGCACAAGTCTAGAGCAAGATTCAGCCCATGCCTCCAGGGCCACAGTAAGACACTATAGCCACTCTCCCCTGTCCAGTCCTTAATCCCTATGCAAAATGATTTTAAAACACTACAAAATCAGATTATCCAATAATACAAACAAGCCCCAAAGCCACTTACAAACTTTCCAGTCTTTTCTTCTGGGCTAGGTGGAATCCCTATCTGGCAAACAGCCTGTAAAGGAAATCTCTCCCTACCAGACTACCCTGCAGGAGACAGGGTATTATGCTCCTGCTTTTCCTAGCTGGAATGTTCCCTGAGAGCTGTTAGTAAGTGGACATTGTAGGGCTGCTTTGAAACTGCTTTGACTTATGCTGGAACCCCAAATCAGGCATTGGAACTATGGTGCTTTCAAACGACTCTCATAAGTGTATATGGCAACCAGAGATACAGTGCCGAGGAGAAACTGGCCCAGACTTGGTGGATACAACTCTGCTTGTCAGAAAGGAGAGATGACTCCCTCCTCTTGGAGACCTATAGGCAAGTGACTTTAATATAGGTACAGTGGGTCAAGGGCATTGGCACCTTCTGCATGGGTGTGTGTAGGCCCCAGTCAGGAGTGATATTTGCCTTTCTCTCTGATACTAGGGGGTTAGCTAGATTTGTGTCCTAGGGTGGAGACAGTACAGGTCATGGTCCATCATTCTGATGCCTAGCTTGGCTGTGCTTGATCAGCTATGTCTGCTCTATAGGAGTAGCAGGTGGCAGCTTTCTCTCCCCTGCCCTAGACCTTGAGGGTTATCATGATTCCAAAGACAGTTTGTCTTGAGGCTGCATTTTTGGGCAGTGCTCTTCCTCCTCCACTCTCCAGCACAACTTAGGCTTGGAAAGAATCATGTAGTCTTTAACTTTTGTCTCTGTATGCCAAGAGCCATTCCTGAAGTCTCTAGTCAGGCAAAATCTTAGTGGAAGTTTTGAGACTGAAAGGCTGAGGAAGGATTTTCTGACATGGCCTAGGGGTTCTCATGGGGGACAAATCCTGCAGTTCTTATTATCTAAAACCTGATGTGTCTAAACTCTGATTAGAGACAAGTATGCACTGAGCTGGGCTTTGGAGACTCAGCCCTTATTCTGGGGAAAGGTGATTAAAAAAGACTGAGTTTCATATTCCAAAAAAAGAAGAGCTTGAAAAATCAAGCTCTGATAGCTGCTATCTAGTCAGAGGCATGACCACTGCAATACCAGCAATGGAGGTGGTGACCCTTTCTCAGCCTGTACCCACATTGCAAATGCTGGGTGCAGGGGCATCTCCTCTTCTACATGGCATGGTTTAAGAAATATACATTGATGCTTGAATTAACTGAATACTTTAAGTGGCAATGTTGCTATAAGAAAAAATTGTTATTAGTACCCAAGTGTCTTAAAAGTCAAAATCCTGTGTCCACAGTGACTTAGGGCCTTCAGGTGAATCTCATAAACAATTCTAAATGCCTGAATAAAAATGGGATTTGGGCTCAATAATTGTTGGGTCCTACTGAAATGTGTACCCTCACTGCCCTAATGATGATATGGAAGGTGTTAACATTGATGGCAGATGGCATGGAGGCTGTGGTGTGCTCCATCATCTCCAGAGGATAGGGAAGGAGACGGAGCACCAAGTATTATGATGATGTACTGCAATTTAAAGCAATAGTACCAGAAGCTGAAAAGCCTGTTTCCTCCCAGACACTTGTAGTCAACAGCCAGGCTCCTACAGCACCACAAAAAGCATGTAGTGCCACCTAGCTAATGCATTAGGCACAGGGCCTTGGGGGTTCTTTCCAATTCTCTAATTAAACTATGGGTGCAAATCATAAAAAAGAGATCGTGGGAGGGAAACTGAAAGGGCTCAGGTGGAGGGAGAGCTTGCTTTGTTGGGAAGCTTCAGGTTTGGCGGTTCTCAAACATTTTTGTTGTATGGATCTTAAGAGACAGTCCCCATCCTTTGCAGTCATTTGAATTTCCTTCTGTCCAATTTGTGATTGTGTGAACCACTTCTCTTCCTGCTTCTGGCTACACAAATCTCCTCTCCCCTCCTACTCTCAAGTCCCTCTATCCTAAAACTAAAGGGCTAACAGTTGCATTAATTCCTTCCTTCCACTCCTTATTTCTTAAAGAAACACTTATTTTTATGGCTTGCTGTTAGAGGCAGAGTGACAGATGAGTCCTGCCTCCAAGACTTTTTCTTTAACTGTTAGACCAGAGAAGTGCAAAGTGTTACTGTGTGGAGGGTAATACCCCTCTTCCTACCCAATCACTCTCTTTCCTCACCCTCCCCACCAGCACACGTACACTCTGCACTCATTGCACAGGAAATGAATGCTGCACCATGCAAGACTATAAATATGCCTCAGGAACTAGAGTTATAATAAGCAGTAGCATTTGGTGAGTCCCTCTGTTGCACGGGACATGGCCAGATGGTTATGCTATCCCAAAGCCATCTAATGCTGCTCCAACCAGCTGATCCACATACCCTGAGAGGAACTTGCCAGTGCCACTTAGCTAATTATAAGGGTGTTGATTTTGGCTCACTGAAATGCAGGCTGGTGTAGTGAGATAAGGCCTAGAGGGGGATCAGTACTATTCTAAATGCCTTTTGCAGGCCTCTGTTATCACTCTGAATCACTGCCAGGAGCCCAAAGCCTTGAATGAGTGCACCACAATTGCTGCAAGCACTGGCTCACTACAACCAGGTGTAGATTCACTTAGTAATGTTGGATGAGGTGAACTTCATTTTCCCCTTCTTTTCTCTCTAAGCACCGCCTCTTTAGGTCCCACTTCACAGGGGATCAGTAGCTCTTTCTCACCCTTGTCCAGGAACCAGATATTCTCTCACTTCAACACTGCAGAAACCCCATTGCCTGGGACATTTCCCAGTGCCTTGTGCAGGCTGGTGCATGGCAGGAGACAATTCTGCAGTTGCAGGAAAATACATTAGATGGGGCCTAACAAGTCTTCGCCATCTCCCACAACACGCTTTATTCCTGTGCCTGGGCTGACCAAATCAACCCTAAGGCATTAGCCTAGGGGTACCTATACACGAGCAGGAAGCTTCTCTGATGTACTGTAATTACAGCAGGTTGGAGCAGACACGATTAATCAATTCTGCTGGAGCGTGGTAATTACTGCACTCCAGCAGGCTCCAGTGATGAGCTTTAGATGAAATGCCCCTCCTGCCATTGTGAAGCACAGGGACACTGATACATGAGATGCTCTGGGAGCTTTAATTAGAGTGGCTCTCGGAGCTGCTTTAATTAAAGTGCCCCCCACCCCCCCAAGCATGTGTATAAACACCCTAGTTTAACTTTTGTCACACAGGAGCTACTCGTGCTTAAAGTTAGGCCTGTGCTTCAGTGCTTTGCTAGGTCAGGGCCTCAGTCAGCAAGAAATTATGCTGGACAGAGGGACATACCTGGGCATACACCTATTACCTCTTGATAGGTCTGTTCACACTCTAGTATTGTGACATGCTATAAATAACACCCCCAGGATCGTCACTACTTTACTCTTTCCTTTATTGTAACTATTCCAGTTGTACACAACACTTGCCTTATCCCAAGCGGAGCAGTGTCCCTGAGGTCATTAATCACTGTAATGAAACACTGCATGCTATGGGATGGAGGCATAATGGCTCATTTATGACTTGGAGTCCCTTAGCAACTAAGAGAGATCTTTCTTTGGCTCAAGAGGTAGGAGCTAGGTTTATTTCCTGCTGTTGCTGTGCTGTGTGACTGGGTTGCAGCATGTAGATTCACGGAAGATAGCAGGGAAGTCCTAGGTCCTAGGAAGAGGCAGCATGTAGATAGCATGGAAGTCCTAGGTGCCTGCACAGCTGTTGCATGGAAGCCCTCCACTAATCTTGATTTCCTACCATCCTGCCATGCCCCAGAGCACTGGGGCACACTAGCCTGGCTCCCTGCCTTGTGTTATGTGAAAGAGGCATGACAGGTGCTGAGCAGAATAGATCTGTGCTGCAGTGTGTGGTGCCCTGCTCCTGTCCCTGCCCCAAGCCCAAGAGCATGGCTTTTACCTTTTCACGCAGATGTGCAAGGTGCCATTGGAGGAGTCAATGATCTGCATGGCGCTGGCATGGGAGAGGCCAGTGCAGGGCTTCCCATTGATGGACACCAGTTCATCATTCTCCCACAGGCCCCCCCGACACGCTTTGCTCCTCTTCCGGATCTGAAAGAAGAAAAGCAGAGGGGCAGGGGCAAAGGGTGGGGGGAAGGCTGTTGAATTCAACTGAAACTCATTGGGTTACTGAATTATCTTCTGGGTTTCCCTAGAGAAACCAAATACAGACAAGGGAGACAAACCCCTCCCCACAACCCTGAGCAAAGAGCCAGGCTGCTAGGTGAGTTCTAGTCTAATCCTAGCTAAGCATGGGGACCTCTAGCAACCCTGATAAATCCCAGCAGCCCTCAGGGAACCTTTCACTAAGTACAGAGCTGAGCTGTTCATCTGTCAGATTTGAGTCTATTAGTGCAAATTAACAGCTGGGGGCTCTTCTCCTCTCACCCCCTCCTAGATTTCGAAAGGAGTGTGTGTCTGTGGGGTGGGGACAGGGGAACACTACCACTTATCCATTAAGCTAACTGAGCATGTCAGCTCCCCCCACCTTCCCCTTGGGCTGGGGTAAACTCCCACAGTGACGGGCAGCAGAATGTGATCTGTCCCTAAGTGGCCTCTCCTGCTTCGACATCCAGATCCTGGGAACAGGCATGAACATATGCTGCAAGCACTGCATAGGGACTGGTCCTGCAGACTGGATAGGCATACAGAAGCAAATATTAATTAGTGTGGATGGGATGGTGGCTAGCAATAGCTTTGGAGGACTTCATCCTCAGCTAAAGATGCCTGTGGGAAGTGCTGGGGTAGGGGGACAAGACACTGTCACTGCCCAGCCTCTCAGCAGCATTTCTGAAACCTCCCTTGTTCTCTGCCCACTAAACCCCACTCTACCATGTCCCCAAGGGTATTGGTTTGTGTGGCAGGCCTAGCAGGGCTGTGGTATGCACTCTCACTTCTCTTTCCCTAGAGTAACTCAGAAGTAATGTCACTGAGGCAGGGGTGTCTCCCCAGTTGGACAAGGCTGTAGGTAACAGAAAAAATCAGCTGATCCTGGGAATCGATGATCAGGAGGGACGTGGAACTAGCCATCCCGTAGAACCAGCATTGTTGTCTCATTCAATGGTTATGCAAAATAAGTACAGATTCCACCAGCATTCTGGAGGGTAGACAGTACAGGGCTGAAAGAGACTTCAGCTCTCCCTAAGATCAGTGGGAGTGGGTTGCACCAGGTATGAATTGCCTCCAGCAGCATTAGGGCATTAGGGATGGTGTAGGCATAAATTAAAGTAGGACCGCCCTGGTTTGCTCTCTTCACCCTTCAGTTGTCTGCGTTATCTGCTGCCTTGTGTCTGCTTCCAGAATGCAAGGCCTAAATCCACAATGACGTGAATGTGTCCAGGGCCTTCAGGAGGAGGTTGGGGCCCTCCTGGCTGTGGATCCCCAAGCCCAAGTCTGCGGTGGACATGCCACTCTATCCTTTACAAGGAGCTTTCTTGGGCCAGCTTCAGCCTTATTACATCAGTGTAGACCTGGAGTAACTCTGACTTCATTGCAGCTACTTCGTATGTATGCTGCTGTAACTGAGAATGGAGTCTGGCCCTTAGCTGCTATGGCCAGAGCACATGGCCACTGAATGCCCAGTGTGTGTATCTGTAGCAGGCCACTAAGGTGCCTGCTACTCTCAGAGCAGAGGCACAGGTGTGGGTTGCTAGGGCAACCACTGGGGAGTCAGCTGACAGAAAGGAGCAGAGCCTGGCATATATAAACTCCAGGGGTAAGGCCAGGAACCAACTTCCAAGAGAAGAGGTGCGGGCTTCTACCCTGGGGGTCTTTAAGAGGAGGCTAGATGTACACCTTGCTGGGGTCGCTTGACCCCAGTACTCTTTCCTGCCATGGCAGGGGGTCGGACTCGATGCTCTGCTCAGGTCCCTTCTGACCCTAGAACCTATGAAACTAGGAGGGCAGTTCTCCACTGGCAGCCCAGGGAGAAGGAGCTCTGCCAGAGCAAGCGGAGTGGAGAAGCCTGACGGCACAAGCAGCTCCTGTTTGCCATTACGGGGTGGAGGATTCCCTGGTAGGGATTGAAGGATGGTTAGCCAGACGGCTTAGATTTTATGTTATAGCCCAGGGGCTTGAGTTTTCTGTTTGTAGTTTTATAACACCGGAGGACCGGATGAGGCTATTAGGGGTTGGAGGAGGCCTCATAGGGGATCCCCAGTGATGTGGGGACCTTGGCACCAGAGAGGGCGCAGCAATTTGGGGTGCATTGGCCCCAGCCCCAGAACAAGGGGGCAGCAGGAAGCCCCAGAGCGAGGAGGGCAGTGGGAAGCCCCAGAGGGAGGGGGGGCAGCGAGAAGCCCCAGAGCAGGAGGGCACATAAGCCCCCATGGCTCACCAAAAGCATCTGGGAATGTCTCCTAGCAAAAAGGGAGGTGTACACCCAATGGAAGGGAGGGGCCATCACCAGGGAGGACTATACTGCAGTTGCTCGGGGATGTAGGGGGGCAGTCAGGAAGGCCAAGGTAGAGATGGAACTGGGACTAGCTTTCCAGGTTAAGGACAACAAGAAGTCCTTTTTTAAATACATAGGGGGTAAAAAGAAGGTTCCAGGTAATGTGGGGCCCCTGCAGGACACATTAGGAAATTTGGTCATTACACCAGGTGACAAAGCCAACATATTTAACAATTTCTTTACCTCCATTTTCCTAAGCAGGGACCGGAACGGTCACCCCCTCTCTGGGCCCCCCTTAGATCCCAGGGGAGGCGCACCTAGGCCAAGGGTTAGTGAGGAACTAGTTAGGGAACTTCTGGAAGGACTGGATGTAATCAAATCAGCTGGTTCAGACAATCTCCACCCTAGAGTACTGAGGGAATTGGCTGAGGTCATTACAGGACCCCTGGCACGGCTTTACGAGCACTCATGGTGCTCT